GCCCCGACCCTGCCGCCGGGCCCTCCGGCCTCGTGCCCGCGCCCCAGCCTTGACCTCGGGCGGCTCTGGCTTCGGCCTCGGTTCGGGTCCCGGGTCCGTGGGGATCTCCCTCTCAGGTTTTTCCTGTGGACACAACCCTGCCGCGGACTCGACCGCGTAACAAATGAGCTGCTTCTGGAAGAGGCAGCTCCGCTCCCCGGGCCGGCCCGGGCCTGGTCTCAATGGCCAGCCCCGACCCCGGCCCGGCCCCCGCCGGGTCTCCGGCCGCTGCGGCTTCGCAGTTGCAGGCTGTGCAAGCTTCAGAGGGGAGCGTGCAGGTGCGCTTCCAAGGAAACCTGGAGAGCAAGCCCTGGAAAAAACATTGGGAAGAGAGCTTCGCGGGGGCCCCCGCGGAGCTCCGGAAAAGCCGCGAAAAGTTTTCCCGCGTGCATTTGGGGAAGGAGTGGGCGCTTCCAGGACAAGCTGCCACTCAATGGGCGCAGGCGGCTGTGAACCGTCAACCACGGTTGCCGCCGGCGGGCTCGTGGAGTTTCAGCCCCAGCACAAACGCCTCCAGATGATGGCGCCTAATCGAGTCTCTCGTGGCTGTAAATTTGTGCTTTCGACTCTGCTGACTCGGTTGCTGCGCTCGAGTGCCCTGCAGCTGTTGTGTAGTTCGAAGTTTAGCAGAAGAACTACGCAAAGCAGAAGAAACAGTGCATGAGGATATTAGTTTTTTTCGACAGTTGCGCGAATTTCAAACTGAGGTCAGGTCTTTGGCAATGAAAGAGCGAGGATACGTGTTGTGACCGCGCTCGCGAATATACAGAGGTCTACATTCAATCTGAAGCTCGAGGCCCTGGCCAATATCTCGTCGATGCAGCAAAAGCCGTTGTATCTTGATATGAATGTTTTCGACATTCGCTCGAGTAGTAAACCAATCTAAGGTTCCTCGAGGCTGGAACGGATTTTTTCGAGGCTGGTCAATTCATTGGTGCAATCTAAAGCGCTGTGGCTGCTCCGAATCTCGAGACCAAGTTTGCCAATCGAACGCACGCAACAAAAATAATTCTGTCGCTGCTTGACGTAGTTGCGAATATGGGAGAAATGGTTGACGCAACTGTTGACCTGGCCGCGTGAGCCCGCCTTCCCGACTCGCTTGCCAGGGTCTGCCCTCCCGATCTGCCCTTTTGGTTCTACTGCGTGTTTTCTGCTCGGAGCCCCCATCCTGCTAATTTCTCCCGTGCTTCATCCTCTTCCCTCCCACTTCCATCCGTCTTCTCCACTCCTGTTTTAGGGGCTGCGCTACATGCGCGTGGCATATAAGGTAAATATACATACCACCAAGGGCGCTGCGATCGAAGTCGAAGAGGGCGGGTATCCAGGGCTTGTGGTATACATGTGTGTTTCATGGCACGCGAGCAGCTAAGAGCGGTCACTCTTGAAAACATTATCATTGTTGTTGTTGCTGCTATTATTACTGTTCATGTTGTTGTGGTTGTGGTTGTGGTTATGTTTGTGGTTGTTGTATTTGTGTAGTTGTTGATGCTGTTGTCGATGATGATGTGGTTGTTGTGGTTGTTGTTGTCGTTGTCGTTGTCGTTGCCGTTGTTGTTGGTGTTGCTGATGTGGTTATCAAACTCACATTTCCAAATAGAAGTTGCTGTTGACGTCACCCCTCCAGTGCACATTGTGCTTTCAAATCAGCGTATCATGCCGGGCACCCTGTTTTTTACAAGGGGCAGTCTTCCGCCTCAGACTGTATTGTTGTCCCCTGGTTTACAACAACAGCGGCTCGCTTCCTCACCATGTAATTCAGAATCGCGCTTTCGCGCGGGACATTCTCACAATTTATACAGGAATCGTGCTCTCTCGTGAGACTTTCTCGCGATTGATTGAGACGCCATGCCTTCGACTCTCAGGAATCGCGCTTTCGTCCTGGCTTTGCTTACGATTTGCTCGGAAATCGCGCTAACGTTCGAAACCTCCTCGCGATTCATGCAGGACGCAGGACCCACGCTTCAGCAGGCCGCTTGCTCGATCTGGTCTCTTGGGCCCGTCGTCCCGACCCGCCCGTTAGGTTTTACCCGCCCGATCAGCCCGTCTGGTTCTGCGTCGTGTTTTTTGCTCCTAGCCTCCGTCCTGCTGGTGCTTCATCCTCCTCCGTCCCCGCCCATTCCGTCATCTATTGGGGCTGCACCAGTCACGCGTGGCAGGCAAGGAAGATACATCCCCCAAGCGGGTACGACCGAAGACGAAGGGCGCGGGTATCGAGGGTTTCATATACACGTGCTGATTGGCACTTTTGCGTGCAAGAACGACTAGCCGTGCACTGACCATTTTTGTTGTTGACATTGTTGTTGAGTTCTCATTTCCAAATCACAGCAGCGCAAGGCTGGGCAAAGCAATGCGAAGCAATGTCAGTCAATGTAAAGCAGTGCAAGGCAACGCAAATCAAGCAATGCAAAACAATGCGTTGCAATTTAACGCAATTCATACCAACACAAAGCAATGCAGTAATGCGAATTAGCGCACGCGAGTGCAAAGCAATGCAGAGCAATGCAGAGCATTGAAACTTAACACAAATCAGCGATCAGCAATGTGAATAAATGCGAAGCAACGCAAGGCAGTGCAGAGCGATGCAAACCAGTGTAGCGCAATGCGAACCTGTTCAAAGCAACGCCAAGCAGTTCTAAGCACATCATAACAATGCAAATCAATGCAAATCATTGCCAAACAATCCAATACAACGCAATTTCGAAACAGTGTGATTATAATACTGTGCGATGCAATGCAAGCGGCGATGGACGGCGACCGATCGGCGGGCCAAGTTCCTTACAAGAGAAGTAAGAGCCCCCGAGGACAAGCACTGCGTGGGTCAAAACGAATCCGAGACCCTGGATATATAGAGCTTGAGACACCAGGACCACCAGGACGCCGTGGCCCGATGCCGCTGAATCGAAGTATCCTTAAACCGAAATGCGTTCCTACCCTAGTCCTTTTCTTTCGCACGGGCCAACACCATAGCGCGCCCGGACTGGACTGATACAGCAACGAGCGAGGAAAAGGGAGGGGAGGGAGGGGCACACGAAGGCAAGAGAGGATGATCGCAGGAAACACCGATAGGCCAACTCACGGGTCGCAGATCGGGACAGCCTGGAGCATCTGCGACGGCAGGGCTAAACCCTATTCACCGAACACTTACAAGCATTATGAATTCCCCCCCTAACAGCTGGATCGTTCTGATATCTGATTCCAGTACCCGTCGACCTCGAGGGAAATACTCGTCCAGTATATCACCCGCCTGGTTGTCAACAAATGCATCTTCGAACAGACCAGTGGTACGCAGCGTGGACAACATATGGTGTCTCATCATAGACACGTCTATCCATCATCCAGAATTCAAGCACGTACGACAAACAAAATCTGCCCCGAATAAGCCGTGATTGCCGGCTTTGTATATGCATGTGCGATGATGCAGGTCGGTGTTCCCGAAGTCGTCCACACCTCCCCCGGTGCATCCAGAGCTATCGCAACAGATGATGGAATCCTGGTCGTCAGTGCGCCAGCACGTAATTACCACAGAAACGGATGCCCCCTATGAAAATCAACTCCGGCCTCCCATATGTATCAACATGCCAAAAGTCAGGGTCAACACAATCGCACTTTGCCAAGACCCGGTGACAACCAAGGCACTTCACGTCCCAACACTGACACTCCATCTCCTGGCATACCAAGCACTGGTCCAGTTCACGAGACTTCGAATGCAACTTCGCCCAAAATGTCTCCGGAACCGATTTGAAATGAGTCGCGAATCGAGAAGAATAGCGCAACGCAGCCTCGCGCCCGTCAGATAACAGCGTGGATGCTGCTCCGACCATGTGAGCATCCTCTCCATCACCGCAGCTCGTGCAATTGTCCGTGGCCCTGCCTTCGGCAACAAAGGTTGCGGCATCGGGATTGAATTCGAATATAGGCGGGGCCGCCTCGGCGATTGGCCATGGTATTCCGGGATCGAATCCACAATGACCGACAACGTCGAGCCCCAAAGAACCGATGCCGCCGTACCCAGCCTCTAAGTTGCCGAGCCTCGCACGGATGTCCTCCCACGAGTCCAGCTTTCGCTGTTGGAAGCAACAACCTTTGTCAGGAGCTTCTCCATGCAAGCACTCGCCCGTGCCCGCCGTGGCTGAGGAAGTTGTCCTGCTAGCTGCCAACAGCTGCATTCTTCGACGCCCTTTCTGAGGACGGCTCAATTTTGTTGGAGAGTGAGGTTCAGCTGAAACCTTTTCACGATCACCAGCCGTACACTCGCGAGGCCGCGCAATCGCAGGAGAAGCAATGGTGGCACCATCGGGTGAGACACGTGGTTGGAACATGGTTTGACCGTTCTTGACCCTTCCGCCCTATCCTAGTCCTCCAAGGTCCTATTTTCTCACCCCCCCGCTGCGTCCCATTGGCCTCGCCGCCCCCTCCCACACGTCACGCCCTTCTGCTGAATCCCGGGTCCCTCCGCCTTCTTCATTGCCACGCGTCCATGCTTCGCCCCTTCATCGCCCACTGCCACCCCGACCCTGCCCACCAACGGAGTTGCCAGCAGAGACCCCCCTTGTCTTTCTTCCAGGCCCCTTCCCTTTCCATGCCCTCCTCCTCGCCGTCTCTGCGATGGGCCATTAAGCGGTGCGGTTCCATCGGCCAGAGGTCGAAGAGTTGAAATCGAGTCCGAAGGGGAAGAACGAGAAAGCAAGATGATAATGAGGGTGGGTTGAGAATGCGGCATAGGAGAGGGGGAGTTCGTGGTCGAGGCCAAAGCCGTCACTCGAGTGAGGTATTTCTATCAGGCACCTGCATGTGTTGGTACTCAGGCCATTTGGCGCATTTGTTTGTTGCAGGGGGAACGGCCAACGTCTGATGCTCTGGAACGGCCAACGTCTTTGCACTGCTTGTATCTTCCTGTTGCCGTCTTGCTCAAGTCGCACGGCGTAATCGGATTGGCCACGACGGTTATCGCAGCCTGAAAGATGACCGCGGCGTTCATGGGGAGCGGGTTGCCTGTTGAACGGATTGTCATGTATTGCGCCCTGCATCGTCATTGCACATGCAAACACAAATTCAGCACAATAATGTATGCCATATTTTTCAGACTGCTTCCAAGAGGCCTGGCCCACCTCCGTAATCTTCGCTTCATCCTTTTTTATCCTCCCTTCCCCCCCGCCCCCTTTCTCTTCCTTCCTTCGCTAACCTTCCCGCTTTCCTTTCCCTCGAAGCTGGCCTGCCAGGACCTTGGGTGCATGCCTACAGCCATCCATATCGTCATCGTAATATGAATGATAGGACCGCGTTGCGTATACATTCGTGTTCCGCAGGGCGCCATTTTGGTGCGTGACTTGGCTGTGCATATGTGTTGAGTACCGTGGTAGGACGCTGCCTTTCTCCCAATGGCTGCACACTCTGCCGCTGGCTCTCAAGGCTGAGCCGACCTGAGGCTACATTGGAACAGTTTTGGTACCATCATGGGGTCACTCGGGGTCATCTCAGGATCTCAGGGCCCATCTTGGGGCCATCTTGAGGCCTCTAGGGCCTAACTTGAGTGCGTCTTGGGGCCATCTGGAGACCTTGTTGGGCCTTCCTCGGCGATTTGGGCAGCGTCTCGGGGCCTTTTAGGCAATTCTGGGCCCGACTTGGGCCCAGGGGCTCCAGGGTCTATCTTGAAGCGATCTTCGGGAAGCTTGGGAGCGAAAGGCGGGACAGTCAAAGCACACTGTAAGCGCTGTTATTTACCTTTTTTGGGGCCCTCTCGGTGACGTCTTGCAGCCCTTCCGGGCAATCCGGGAGGCATCTTGGGAGCGTCGTCGGCCGTCTTGGGCTCTTGAAGGCCTCGTTGGAGCCGTCTGGGGCCGGTCTCGAGGCCTCTTTGGCCGTCCTGGCCGCGCGGTGGCGTCCTGACGAGCAGAGCGGGGCAACCTTGACCGGTCGGGGATTAGAGGGACTCCGCGCAGTTTTTTGTTGTCCCTTATAGCTCGATTACATGATATACCACTGCTTATAGCTCGATTTTCTAGTGCAATTAGCCCGTCAAGCCTTTTTGAACGACTAGTCGATAGAGTATCAGAGAATGGTGCGTAGTATGTGCTAAGTTCTGCGACGACGTTGCTGTATGACTAAAGTCGTGCGCGGTCCGAAAGAGACCGGTACTGCAAGGCTGTTGCCCCCCCCCGCCGTCCCTGGCAGAGTGAACCTTGCAATCATTGTGAAAGGGGTGGTGGTGTGCCTGCACACGGCGGGCGGTGTGCCCGCCCCCCCGCCGTCCCCGTGAAAAGCCAGGTGCGAGGCGGTCTCGGGGCGTCCGCGCATGATCTGGAGCTTGGTGCACTGTGTACGGTAGGTTTGCGTCGTGTCGACCAGCGGCGACCCCAGCGCGGGCGTTCAAGGTTGAACGCCGCTGGTGACCCAGAATCGATCGATGTTGAACGATCGGACGTTTCGGCAGCGGCCGATCGTTCAAGGTTGAACGATCCCTGCGGTGTCAAAAGCCAACGCTGGGGTCGGCACGACACGAACCTGCTGTATTTGTATAGTTTTTTTGCAGGAGACATCGGAGGGGTTCTGGCACTGCACACAGCCGGCCACATTCCGCCGTCCCCGCGGTCCCTCTCGACAGCCACTGCGAAGTGATCGTGGGTCGTCCGCGCACAATCTGGATTTTGGTCACATTGCCTTTTGTGTTGTTCCCAACCATCCTTTGGTGTCAGATCCTCTTTTTCAAAGGGGTAGCGTCCGCGTCTCCTCCTCTCCTTTCCTGTCTTCTCCTCTCCTCTCCTCTCCTCTCCTCTCCTCTCCTCTCCTCTCCTCTCCTCTCCTCTCCTCTCCTCTCCTCTCCTATCCTCTCCCCTCTCGGCTCTCCTTTCCGCTCCTCTCTTCTCCTTTCCCTTTTCTCCTCTCCTCTCTTCTCCTCTCGTCTCTTCTCCTCCTCCTTACCTCTGCCCTCCGCATCAGTCGACCATTTCGGCGCATCCCTCACACGGCTCGTGACCCCATAGGGAGCTCCACCGAAGGCCCCAGTGGCCACGTTCGCATGTGGCCGCCCCACCCATGTGGGCACACCTCTCACACGTTTCGTGGCCCCATCGGGAAGTCCACCTCATTTGCTAAGTGCGCATGTGGCCACCCCACCCATGTAGGCACACCCATCATACGTTTCATGGCCCCATAGGAAACTCCACCTACGGCCCCAGTGGTCATGTTCGCATGTGGCCGCCCCACCTATTTCGGCGCACTCCTCACACGTTTCGTGGTCCCATGTGGGAGTTCACCTCAAGCCCCAGTGACCATGTTTGCATGTGGCTGCCCCACACCTTCTGGCACACCTCTCACGCGTGAGCGCCACTTGAGGCCTCAGTGGCCATGCTCGCATGTGGCCGCTCCGCCCCTTTCGGCATACCCATCACACGTTTCATGGTCACCCTGGAAGCTCCGCCTAACGCTCCAGTTGCCATGTTTGCACGTGGCCGCCCACACCCCTCGCGCGTTTCGCGGCCCCATACGGGGGCTCCACCTAAAGCTCTACTGGCGGCGTTTGCATGTGGGCGTCACATCTGTTTCGGCACACCTCTCACACGTTTCGTGGTTCCACACGAGCGCCCCTCCTAGGGCCCCCGTTGCCATGTTCGCATGTGGGCGTCATTCTCGTTTCGGCACATCCCTCACATGCTGCTTGTCCCCAGAGAGAGTTCCACCCAAGGCCCCCAGGGCCATGTTCACATTAGGCCACCCCGCCCATTTGGGCACACCCCTCACGCTTTTAGTGGCCTCACATGGAGCTCCATAATGGGGCCCCAGTTGCCATGTTCGCATGTGGCCGATCCACCCATTGCGGCACACCCCTGAAACGTTCCGTGGCCCCATAGAGGGCTCCAGCTACGGCCCCAGTGGCCATGTTCGCAGGTGGCCGCCCTGCCCATGTTGGCACACCCGTCACAGGTTTCATGGCCCCATAGGAAGCTCCACCGAAGGCCCAGTGGCCATGCTCGCATGTGGCCGCTCCACCAATTTCGGCACACCCCTCGCACTTTTCATGGCCCCAAAGGATGCTCCACCGAAGACCCCAGTGGCCATGTTCGCATGTGGGCGCCCCGCCCATTTCGGCACATCTCTCCCACGTTTCGTGGCCTCATGGGGAGCTTCGCCCAAGGCCCTAGTGGCAATGTTCGCATTTTGCTGCCCCTTCCATTTCCGCACACCTCTCACACGTTTCATGGCCCCACCGGGAGCTTTACCTAAGGCCCCAATGGCGTCGTTCGCATGTGGGCGTCACGTCCGTTTCGGCATACCCCTCACACGTTTCGTGGCCCCATATGGGCCCCCCACATAAGGCCCCAGTCGCGACGTTCGCAAGTGGGCGTCACGCTCGTTTCGGCATCCCCCTCACAAGTTTCGTGGCCCCATCTGGAGGCCTCAAAAGCGACGTTCGCATGGCGCCCCCCCTATTGTGCACCCCCCTCGCACGTTTAGCGGCGCCGTCGGGTTTCTACCTTCGGACTCAGTGACAGTGCCCGCATGACGGCCTCGCTCCATTTCGGCACACTCTTCACGCGCTTTGTGGCCCTATAAGGGGGCCCACCGACGGCGATACCCACAACGACGATACTCACAGCTGCATACGGTTGGTTCCTTCGCCAGGATTTTTTGTTCCAACGGATTGCGCTGGCGTGTTAGCATTGCACACAGCAGACGCCCCACCATCCCTGTCACAAGCAAACGCAAAGCGATCGCGGGGCGTCCGCGCATGATCCAGATTTTTGCGCAAAGTGCACTTCGCTTTTCTATTTTGCGAGGGATGGTGAGGGGGGGGTGCCTGCATGGTCTGGGGTTTGTCGCCGGTTGGGTTGGGGGGGTCTGTACTGACCAGGAACAGAGATGTGCCCCTCGCCGAAGGGGAACAAGGGGATTGGAAGAGGAAGCTCTCTAAAGGACTTATGCCCAGAGGGCTGGTGGGATTGCATGTGGTTCTGCCTCATTTTTCTTTTACGATCGGACTTCACACCATCCCAGCTCAACCCAACCAGGTACCGCCCTCCCCCCACCCCCTCATTCTTGTCTAATGATACCACGCGCGACCATGTGTTTACTTATCGTTTCTAAGATAATTACCCTGCGACGTACCCAACCCTTTCTATACATGTGGTGGGTACAATCGGGACCACTCAATGCTGACGGGCATGCCGAAAAACCCGCAGTGCGGAAGAAGAGCACCCATCAGTGAATTCAGAGGAGCGCAGCAAGAAGAGCAGCGGCAATGCGTAAGACGTGCCTCTGCTGGGCTTCCCAGGAGCCCACGAAAGTGGCGACAGTTTCGCAGATCGCAGACCCCAGGGCACCGCGAGGTCTCGAGGTGGTCCGCGTGGGACGTACCTCCGCTGGGCCTCCCAGGAGCCGACGAAAGTGGCGACAGTTGCGCAGATCGCAGCCTCCCAGGGCGCCGCGAAGTCTCGAGGTTGTCCGCGTGGAACTCACCTCCGCCGGACCTCCCAGGAGCTCACGAAAGCGGCGAGAGTTGCGCAGATCGCAGCCCCACAGGCCGCCGCGAGTTCTCGAGATGGTCCGCGTGGGACGTACCTCCGCTGGGCCTCCCAGGAGCCCACCGAAGTGGCGACAGTTGCGCAGATCGCAGCCCCTCAAGGCGCCGCGAGGTCTCGAGGTGGTCCGCGTGGGACGTACTTCCGCTGGGCCTCCCAGGAGCCCACGAAAGTGGCGACAGTTACGCAGATCGCAGCCCCCCAGAGCACCGCGAGGTCTCGAGGTAATCCGCGTGGAACCCACCTCCGCTGGGCCTCCCATGAGCCCACGAAAGTGGCGACAGTTGCGCAGATCGCAGCCCGACGGCACGAGAGAAGAGGAGATGGGAACACAGGAAACGGGAGAGGAGGAGGGGAGGAGGGGGGAGGAGGAGGAGGAGGACGGGGCAACCACACTGCTCTATTCAAAACGCGTACCCAACCATAGAAGGGTTGATAATAATAGGTCTCACCCG